GGACCACAAAACTGATACACACATATAGACAGCATAATCATAACCAGCAAACCATAACCTTGTCCTAGACACCCCATTTGACCCCCTTTATACCAGATTTGGGTGCCACTACAGGACCTTGGTTGCAACAATGATCTATACGGTCCCAGTTTATGTCAATAACATCACAAACCTCCAGAGTAGACCCTTCGTTTAACCTGGCTACCACTGTCTGGGGAGGCAGGTTCCCTGCAGCAGGGGTAAAACCCTTTCCAGCGATGGAGGAAGTGTCTACACTAGGGCAATCAGCAGCAGTGCTGCAGCTGGAGCATTTGTGGTGTATCCCCTGAGTCACTGATCATATAGCTTGGCTCTCACCCCTACACGCTGCACTTGTTTGAGGAGATGCAGGGCTGGGAAGGAAGGGGACAGGCAGAGGGGCACGGAGCAGTGGGCAGGATGGAGGGGGAGGTGGGAGCTCATTGCGTGGGCAGAGGGCTGTTGCGATGGTGAAAGGCCACCCATGCCGTAGTGACCGACGGGATTCCTCCCGTCCCCGCAGAAAGCTGTGCGAGTGACCACACTCATGAAGCGACTCCGTGCACCTGAGCAGGCTGAGCTGGCAAAGCCAACCCTGCCAGCTGCCGCCACGCCGGACAGTGCCGCCTCGCCGGCCCCCACCGCCACCCCGCAGCCTACGGCCGCTGCCGCACCTGACAACACCGCCCCGACGGTGGGAGCCCCGTCTACGTGTAATGGAGAAGAAGCCACTGCCCCCAGTGCTACCCCCGAGGCCTGGACCGAGGAGACCGGCTGAGCAGGAGGGACGGGGTGGGGAAGCACTGGATCTCTCATTGTACATAGTTGCTGGCATGGTATCCAAATCTCCCCTGGCTCTCTGTCTGTCCCTGCTGTGTGCCTATCTGTCTGACTCTGTCTACCCCCAGCTGGGCCGCTGCAGAGAGCTTCTATTTAATATGTTCCTGAACCTGGAGCGACCCGATAGGCCCAGGTGGACAGACAGAGGCAGAAGCAGAGCCCCTTGCATGGAGTTTTCTCTCTCTCCTTTGCTTTTCTTTTCTCTGTCTCCTTTGGTGGCTTTGTTGGTTTCCTTTCCTCACTGGAGGCGGCTCTCTCAGTCTGCCCACTTACTCACCCACCTGATCCCCCATCGCTGGGCCAAGTGAGGGGAAACTGGCACATCAGGATCAAACACAACCACCCTCCGGAGTTCCAGATCCAATTGTTTCCATACCCAGCACTTGTGTGTGTGTGTGTGTGTGTTTACAGACAGCTGCATGTATGTGCTGTGTGTCTATTGCAGTGTATGTGTCTCCAGACATGGGGCATTTGTGTGGGTGTCCATAAGAATTAGTGCGTGTCTGGGTGTCTGATTATGCATCGGTGTGTGTGTGTGTGTATGGGTCTCTGGGTGGGTGGGTATGTCCATATGTGTATCCATGGGTGAACAAGTGTGCGTGTATTGGGTGCATTCACCTGGGAGTGGGGAGAGAAGCAATCCCGAGCCATTTAGAGAAGGATTTGAGCACCAGTCTGGAGAGCAGCAGCTGAGCTGAGCCGGCTGGGGGGATGGGGTGACAGGGAGGTGAGGAGGGCTAGAGATTCAAGTGGCCTAGGGCAGGGAAGCTGCACTTAGATCCCAGATAAAGCTTCCCATGCAATTGCTGGCACCGGTGGGACTCCCTCTCCCATGCCCACAGGTTCCTGTTGAATCATAGAAGATTAGAGTTGGAAGAGACTTCAGGAGGTCATCTAGTCCAACCCCCTGCTCAAAGCAGGACCAACCCCAGCTAAATCATCACAGCCAGGGCTTTGTCAAGCCGGGCCTTAAAAACCTCTAAGGATGGAGATTCCACCACCTCCCTAGTAACCCATTCCAGTGCTTCACCACCCTCATTGGCTTGCTTGGAGCTTTGGGAGATGTGCAGAGAGCCAGTAGCCTGGGTGTCCCTCCTCCCTGCTGTAACGGTGGCATCTGGCCCTGTGGACTGCAGACCTGCCTTCCTCCCTGTGGGTAAGGGAGATGCCTGAGCACCAGTGCTGCCTCACCCTGGCCAGTAGGCACTGGGGATGTCCTGTATCTCCCTAGTCTGCATCCACAGCAGGCTCCAGGAGGGGCTGGATCCACGTGGGGGTGAGACACACCAGCCCTGCACTCTGCTCTGCTGCTTTAGAGCCTGAACCCAAGGCAGATACAGACCAGACTCCACTCACAGTAGCATCCTCCCAGCGTGACAGTTTTGGTCTCACTGCTGCTCCTGCAGGCTCACTGGTGTCACTGACAGCAATGGCCCTGCTGCCAGGAGCTGTGGGCATCAGGGATGACTGTGGTGGCTCAGTGTGTGGAGGAGCCCAGCATTTCTGCATCACAGTCCCTGCTGGAGCGGCCCTGGGAGGAACAAGGGGGCTGCTGGGAACGTCCAAGGGGCTGCAGACCCCTCACAAGAGGTGCCTCTCTAACTGTCCAGTGGCCATCACAAACCCCTCATGGCCAGGGGCTAGAACCGCAGCCCTGCTGAGAGCTGGCCCTCCAGTCGCCTGTGTGTGCTGATCCAAAGGGGTGCGGGAGCCCTGGGTTGGCCTGTCGGAACAAGGGGGAGCAGGGAGGGGTTGGGGGTTGACTCATCGTCAAAGCACTGTCCTATGCCTCTTCCTACAACAATAGTTTTGCCGTTGTGTTTGCAGCCCATGTGTGACAGCACGCAGCATGTCTATGGGAGCAGTATGGTGTATGCATGAGACTTACGCAGCAGAGCTCTGGTCCTGGCTTTGGCTGTGTGAGATTCAGCCCTTGCTGGGTGTATTTATGGAGGATCTGGGGGTGGGAGTGCTGTATGTACATATATACTCTTACTGTGTGGATGTGCAAACATGATAACCCCCATGTGCTCTGTTCAGCACTGTGTAGTCTTGTTTCCTCCCAGAGGCTAAACCTGGGGCACATAGAGAATCTGTACTGTGGAGGCTTAAGCATGGGCCCATCCAGTCCAAGCAGGGCTTTCTTGACTGTAGCTCTGGACGGTGGCCCCTTGCAGAGTTGTGTTCCCTTGCCCCAACCCTGAGCTGACAGTTTGCAGAACTAGGGCCGGCCTTAGGGAAAATGGCGCCCTGGTGAACTTGTATTTTGGCACCCTGGTCTCTCCTGCCTCCTCTGGCCCCTAACCCATCCTCCCTGGCCCCCACTGCCTCCCCCAACCCCTCCCCCATCACCCCTGGATCAGCCACTAGCAGAGCACATTTTACCATTTTAGGATGGGGATGAACACTGATTGAACAGTAAGGTTGTCAATCAGGGTGGCGTGATACGAATGTGGCCTCTGAAACAGAGTGGATCCAAGGCGATGAGATGTTCAGTGCCTGGCTCATTGAGCCCAGGGCTGGCTCCAGCTTTTTTGCCACCCCAAGTGGTGAAGGGGCGGGGGGGGAATGCTTGGAGCGGCAGCACTTTGGTGGCAGCTCTACCGCGCCGCTTCATTCTTTGGCGGCAATTTGACAGCAGGTCCTTCGCTCCAAGAGGGAGTGAGGGACCCGCCGCTGAATTGCCGCCAAAGACCCGGATGTGCCGCCCCTTTCAATTGGCCACCCCAAGCACCGGCTTTCTTCGCTGGTGGCTGGAGCCGGCCCTGATTGAGCCACTCTTCTGCTCCCACCCCCAATTGCACTTCTCCCTCATTGCCTCAAGCTCCCTTCTGTGGCCTCGCACCCCAGCCCTGCCCCACTCCTTGCCTCTTACCCACGGCACGCACCCATAATGCTGGCCCTGTGCAGAACTGTAGCTGCAGGGGACTTTGGGGCACATGGTCCGCTCCAGTCTTCAGCCCCATAATAGTGCCTAGCCCATGGAGCCAGCCCTGCCCAAGGAGACTTGCTCTGGGTTTGCTTTGTGCTGGGCTGTCTGGGGATATGGCAGTGGAAATTGATTGGTTTTAGCTGCTGGTAGGTTGAGTCCGGGGTCCTACTCTAGCAGAAGAGAAGATTTTCCTTGTTTCCTGAGTCATTTCCCATTGACAAAAATGTGTTTTACAGCCAAATGTTCTAAAGCACTCTGCATTTGTGAAGGTTCTAGATCAAACTCGAGGAGAGCTCCTGGCAGCTCTAGGGCATCTCAGGCATCCAGCTTGTGAAGGTCTTGTTCTAGATCACACCACATGCTTGCCAATAAGTGGTCTAGATTGCCACCACCCTGTTGAGGTTCCAGAGTATCCAATGTGAAACCTCATAGGGGCTATAGAGTGCTCCTGAAATATTACATTCTGGTGGAATGCACAGTCCAGAGCTTGGATCAAGATCTGCTCCCTCCCCCCCCCCCCGTCCCCAGTTTAGGGTGCAGACTGATCTAGTGCTCTAGTGAATGAGCCATTGGGTGGCTGGTTAGATGCCCCTCCACCATGTGGTCACAACAGTGGGAGCCTGAACAATCCCTCCCCATGCTCTAGCTCAAGGCCTAGAAGTAGACTTTTGGAGGCATTTGCCTGCCTGTTCCTAGGTGCAGGGTGCTTGCAGCACTGGCTATCAGTTCTTCGGAGGGTAGGAGCGAGCAGTCCAGATGAGAGCCCTGTGAGGTCTGCTCACTTGACCAGAGCGCCTCAGCTACCCCCCAGGGTCAGGCCTGGCCCATCAGCCCCCTGTGCCCCCTTCCCCTGGCCCCAAACTAAATGCTGTGAAGGGCCTGCGGAGTTGACCTGCCATCAATGGGGTCTTCTCCACAGCTGCCTGCCCCAGGGCCCTCCCAGCCTGCGGCTTTCTGGTCTATGGTCCACCACTCTAGCTTTACTTTCCCCTTCTCCTTGATTCGCAGCTGCATGTTTGTAGGGTTGAGTTCCATCTATGAAACTTTTATTTCCACCACGACCACCCAGAAGTTCCTGTGTGATCTCTGCACTGTACTACTGGCAAATAAAGACCTTCTGAGGACAAACCGAGAAAGCACCAGCCACACCTGCTCTGTCTCTTTGTCTGCCCTGCCGATGAGCTCTGCCCTTCTAGAGGCCAGTTCACCCACCAGGCTGGTGTCAGGAGCAGATCTCCCAGCCAGCTGACATGCATGCCTCTGTGCCTCAGAGGTGAGCTGGGGAAAGACTGGGTGGGACACAGATTCTCTGGGGGCTGGAAGGAACAAGGGGTGGAGTAGGTAGAGGTGCAGCTAAGAGGAGGTTAATCACCGAGTCTTGGGGATCTCCCCCCCTCTAAAATCCAGCTCATCTGATCTCTGCTGTCCTGTGGGCAGGCACAGTGGAGCTCCCTCTGGTTGCTATGGCCCTAAACTTGTCTGGCTGCAGCACAGTCTGCTCCAAAAGGGGTTGGGAAATTGCTGGGAGCAAGCCTCAGAGCACCAGCATGTCTGGTATGGCAGCAACTCCCCAGACATTCTTCCCACAGCCCTGGGCCATGGCATGACCCTGGAGAGGGGATCCCATCTAATAGCCACTGCATGCTCCAGGGAGCAGATCCCCTAGCCATCACTGATCTCATGCAATGGGGCCCACAGTCCTTGTGAATGGGCAAGGAAATGGGATCAAAAAGGAGGATTTTTGCACAGGCAGGGCAAGTACACCTTTTAAGCCCTGTCTTTGGGAGAATGCTAATATGGCAAGTAATGCCTGATTCTGCACAGGGCAAGCGGTTGAGATGATACCTGCATGGAAGGAGGTCGACCTCTGAAGCTCTCCTAATCCCGTGACCCCATCCTTCTGCTCCATGCACAGCCCAGTATAACTCCCCTCGGGGCCACTGGAATTGCTATTCCCTGCATCGTGCCTGTAAGCATGTCCATTTGTACATGTGCTCTTCAGAGGACAAAGCACACACAGGCAGCACCTGGCTGCCAGGTTCAGGTAAGGGCACATTCATAGTCTGCTGCCCTTTGAGCCAAGACTGGGCTCTGCCTGGCTAAGCAGTTTTGAGTATGATTGGAACACGGATGGATGACTTCTGAGAAAATCCCAGGAACTAGTGCAGGGTGGCTCAGTAGGGAGTTCCTACCAAGCCCCACTTCAGTACCTAATAGAACCACATTCAGGCAGTGACCTCTGTTAGAGATGTAAAGCTAAAGTCCTGATCATCTGCGGTCGTTATAGATCCCACAGCACTGTTCACAGGAAGAAGGATATAAACAGGGCTGTGCTGGCAAACTTCCAATTAGGTAGCTTCATTCTACCATTCTACCTCCCCCAAACTCCCCCCCCCCCCGAGTTTCAATGGGATACGGTATTCTGCTCTTCCTATCTCACTGTTTTATGGTTTTGCTGTGTGCAGTTCAACAACAGCTATGTTCCACCCAAGATGGCTGCATTCCAGTACTGGGTGAAGTGATTCCTGCATATTCCATTTACCATACTCAAGTTCCATCCATGGTTCTGGAGTAGCTAGCTGTTCCTGCTAAAATGTTAAGTAATTAAACCATTAACTCTGAAACTTAATAATGACACCACAGATGACAGTGATGTAAGAGCCCATAGAACAGACCCATGCAGCCAGTCCCACCAAGTCACATTGGAAACTTTTCTTCCCAGACAGAAAGGCCATAAACTTGATGAATTAAGATGAAGTTGCCCAGTAATTGCTGGAGAAGCCACAGAAGTGGCAGGAGTGTGCAACAGCCCATACTGGTTCAGTTCAGCCCCTGAGGCTAACCAGGCCAAACGTAGCCTCAGCAGGCTCCATACTCATGTGATACATTGCATTTAGCATGCAGGTCTAACAGCTTCACCAGCATTCTGCTCACCAATGCATCCCCTCTCCTGCAAGCATCTTCTCTGCTTTCCTCCCTTGGTAGCCCATCCCAGAGCCCCCGCCACACTGATCCCCCTCCCACAGTAAGGTCCGCTAATGCTGTCTTTGCTGCAGTGGCGTTATGATGTAATAAAGTGGCTCAAAGTCTGGGATTCTGCTTGCCTTCTTGCTGTGCCTGGATGACCAGCCTCAACCTCCCTGGCTATTGCACTTTGTTTTCTCTCTGCTTTGCTGTCTTCATGAAAGTGAAGACAAAATAGCACACTCAACAGCCCATGCTGAGACATCCATTACTCTCTGCATAACTCATGCTATTTGGGTTCCGGCCCTGTCTTCTTTGCCTTGTGCCCCTGATCCTTCAATCAGCTCCACTCGTGCAGACCCATGGGCCAATGAACTGAGGTCCATGTTAGCAGATCCAACTGCAGGACTGATGCTTTAGGCTGTTAGGTCAGCAAGTTAGGGCCTGCACACTTATGGGGCTGTTAATCAAATGGTACATCATTACAAATGTAAGATTTTGGTGGGTGAGTAAGGGTCAGCTGGGATTTAAGGTGCCCACAAAGCGAAGGGAGTCCTTGTGAGCACATGATTATATGCTATGACGATTGGCAGTGGGACAGTTGGAGTTGATAACTAAATCACCATCAGAGGGGTAGCCGTGTTAGTCTGAATCTGTAAACAGCAACAGAGGGTCCTGTGGCACCTTTAAGACTAACAGAAGTATTAGAGCATAAGCTTTCGTGGGTGAATGCCCACTTCATCAGACGCAAGTAAATGGAAATTTCCAGAGGCAGGTATAAATCAGTATGGAGATAACGAGGTTAGTTCAATAAGGGAGGGTGAAGTGCTCTGCTAGCAGTTGAGGTGTGAACACCAATGATGCTCAGGCCACGTTTGCCACGTTTTCCTCACAAGGTGGTGGGCTGGAAACAGGATTGTTTAATGGAAGGTGAGACTCTGCACCCAGACCCCTAACAGGAGACAAGCCATGTTTCATCCTCCAGGCCCCACCCCTTGAGTCTGCAGGCCCTGCCCCAACCCACATGCTCCACCCCATGAGCATGCAGGCCCCACACCATAAGCCTTCTGGCCCCGCCCCACCCCACCCCACCCCACCCCACGAGCATACAGGCCCTGCCTTAAACATTGTGCCCCTGAGTGTGCGAGCCCCGGTCCACCCGTCAAGTGTGCGCTCCGGACGGTCAGGTTGGGGCGGCGCTAGAAGCCCGTGCTCCCATTAGCCCCGCCCAAGAGAGCCCGCTGGGGCCAGGCGGAGGAGAAACTCGGGGAAGCTGGCCCCGCCCCCTCCTCCTCCGCCATGTAGCGCGGCGGGTCGGGTCCCGCGCCTTTCCCAGTTTCGTCATTTCCGGCTCATGCCGGAAGCCGCCTCGGAAGGAACTAAATTTGAACGGGTAACGCGATGCAAACCGCACTGACCTCTTGCTCCGGGACCGAGCCCCCCGGGACGGACCCGCCCCCGGATCGAGCCCAGCCTCCGCCCGCGCCCCCTGATCGTAGGCCCTCTCGCAACGAGGGAGGCTGGGGCAGAGCCGGGGGCGGGAGCTGGCCCGAATGTCCCTACCCCCCGGGCTGCCCGGCGTTTCCCCGGCGCCCTGTCCCTGAGAGAGGCCGCCGCCTATAACCCGCGTGTCCGCCCAGCCAGGCGGGCCCCGGCCCGTGCAGCCCCCAGCCTGTGCTCGGCGCGAGTCCCCGGCTCGTTCCCTGCTGCGGCCCTCAGCGTGACAGCTGCTGTGACCCCGAAGGGACGCTGGGATCGGACCCCGGCTCGCGCTGGGAGCTAGCGTCGCCCTTCCAGGCTGGCTGCAGTCCGGGGGGCATGTAGCCACTAGCACAAAGTCGAGATTCTGTCCCATCTGGGTGTATCGCAAGGGTGGGCAAACTTTTTGGCCTGGTGGCTGTATCGGGTTTTGGAAATTATATGGAGGGCCGGTTAGGGGAGGTCGTTGTGGCCCGTCCCCCCATCTCCTATCTGCCTCCCCCTGGGACTCCTGCCCTATCCAACCCCCCTGTTCCCTGATGGTCCCTCTAGGACCCTTGCTCTATCCAACCACCCCTTCTCCCTGTCCCCTAACTGCCCCTGGAATCCCTGCCCCTGACTGCCCCCTGCTACCCCATCCAACCCCTCCCCCCTTCCTGACTGCCCCCTGGGACCCACTGCCCCCATTCACCCCCCCTATCCACACCCCTGCCCCCTGACCACCACCCTGAACTCCCCTGCCCTCTATCCAGCCCCCCCGCCCCCTTACCATGCTGCCTGGAGCACTGGTGGCTGGCACCTCTACAGCTGGGCCACGCTGCCACCAGCACGCAGCTCAGAGCACCGGGTCAGGATGCCCCAGGAGCTCACAGTCCCGCCGCCCAGAGCATTGCGTCCGCGGCAGAGTGAGCGAGCTGAGGCTGTGGGGGAGGGGCCGGGCAGGACGGTCCTGTGGGCTGGATGTGGTCCGCTGGATGTAGTTTGCCCACCTCTGGTGTATCAGGTTGGGTACAAACACGTTGTGTGGGCTGGATGCATCCCGGGGACCATATGTTTGACACCCGTGCAACACCTTCTTAATCCCCAGCCATGAGTACACTGAATAGCAACATGCCATGCATGCCCTGCGTATTATACCCTACAGTGCCCTCTGTACATTCCCTCTGGCCTGCCTGTAGCTCATAGTGGGTCCCCCCGTGCTATCCTAAATGTTGGGTTATGCCCTGTGTACAGCATTCTGGCCCCTATGCCAGGCAAAGATCGAAACTTGTGAGGCTGTGTTTGGTGTTCGTTCGGGAGACAGCCCCCCTGAGGCTGGTGTGTTCGTCTCCCCTTGCATAGGCCAAGGAGAGGTGCTTCCCTGGTTGTGCTGTGGCAGCCTCCTGGATGTTGGAACCATAGAGGATGCCTATCCGTGCCCACTGTACCATCTGCTCAGATTTCTTTGACAATCACAAGGATGTGGCAGCTATCCACTGCGGGCACACCTTCCATCAGGAGTGGTGAGTAGACATGAACAGCATGACAGGTAGTGGTAAAAACATGCATCTCCTTTAACTGCTGAGTTGATATGTCTTATGATGTCAGTGTCTCTGGAGAAACAGAGGAAGTGCATCTCCAGTTTTTTGTTCTTGTGATAATGTCTTGTCTTTTTGCATTTCAGTCTCTGAACTCTTCAGCCTCCTCTTCTCTAATCCTGCTGTTTGCAAATGTTATAGTTAAGGGGGATAAGGATGAAGACAGACATTTAAAAACCATGCACCTTGTGCCTGGCTGACTCTTCTTGCGTTTTGGGGGGGGGGGGGGTTTGACAGATGGTTAGTTGGCCATCATTGTAATGCAGGCTTCTAAAAGTTGGGCTTTTCCTGTTTTGGAGAGATGCAGAACTAAAATAACAGGAGGTTCTGTGGGTTGGCATTGAGCTGCATGGTATAGTTGAGTGTTGGGAGCACTGAGCAGGGGGGCTGCAGATCAGCATTGAAGTGCCTTGGCAGAGTTGTAGTGGGGCTAAGGACTGTAGTAGGGGAAGGGGGTGCAATTCTGCCAATGCAATGCAAAACTGAGCAATGTGGGAAATCCTGCACAGTTCTTGACTAGTTAGTGCTGACTGGAGCTAGGCAGATTGAGTGCCTTATACTCAAAAGCAGTAAAAAGTACGTAATTTGTCTTAATGTATGTTGTTGTATTTTGTAACATGGTATCTTTGATTGAAGGCTCTCTGAGTGCTTTTTGAATATTAAAGTCACACAATGCCACTGTGAGGTGGGTAGATATCTCACCTCCCCATTTTAGTGATTAGGAAACTGAGGCAGAGCAAAAGTTAACTTGACCAAGCTCACAGTAAGCCAGTATCGGCTTTGGGAATAGGAATCAAATCCTAGTCCTGTGCTTTTAACGCTCTGAGACTAAAGGAAATGGGGATTAGGCCCGTCAATATACAGACTACAAGATACTTTTTTTTGCCGGTCTTGATTCTTAGGTGTTAAATTGAAACTCATTTTTTCATTAAAATGGAGAAATGCCAAACACACTAAATGTGTCTGTATGCCACAGGCTCTCCCCTTTTGAGCCATGTGTTAAAGGAGCTTTTTTCGTGGTGACCCAAACTAAGATTCTGTACCAGGGCCTAGTGTCACTTGTTGGCTTATATGATTCTCCCTGGGAAGTCTTATTTCTGAGTTTCTCTTGACTGCCAGACAAATAACTCTGGTAACTGAATATCCTCTTTCCTCTTAGCAGCTTCCTTCCCTTGTAGAAAACACCTCTGCTGTTCAAGTCTTTCGTGTCTCCTTTCTTCCTTCCACCTTTTCGTGTTTTGTCTGTTCCCTCTGTCTTCCACGATTCCCACTCTCTCCCCTAAACGTCCTTGTCACAGTGACCCTTCTTCTGGCTAAGGGTGTGGTGCTTGGGCTTCCTTTGTTGATTTTTCACTTTGTTGGAGGAATGTGCTAGTGTGAAATGGGGCTGCAACTTGCAATGCTCTTGAACTCTGATACAGTGCTGCTCCCTCCCCCTTCATGCTTCTCCCTTCCCCATCTGTGGTCTTGGTTTCCTTTCCCTCTCCATCAGAAATGACGCCATTGTGTTGCTCCTGCACAAAGTGCTTGTCCATGTGCTCCAGCAGGAGCAAGCTAAAGATGAAACATAGCTCAGTGGTTTGAGCATTGGCCTGCTAAACCCAGGGTTGTGAGTTCAATCCTTGAGGGGACCATTTAGGGATCTGGGGCAAAAATCTGTCTGGGGATTGGTCCTGCTATGAGCAGGGGGTTGGACTAGATGACCTCCTGAGGTCCCTTCCAACCCTGACATTCTATGTTTCTAATCAATTCCACGCTTTTGCTGGAGTTCCTTTGCAAGTGTATTTGAGCTAGAGGTATGTGCTCTTCCTATGGGATCAACTCAGTGTGTGGGGGGAGGGGGACAGAGGGGACATGTGTATACCAGGGCGCACTCATCCACACCAAAATGAATCACCCTGGGGATGGTCACTGACTTCAATGAAAGGAACATTCATTGTATATTTTTTTTCTTTCTCCCTCAGTCTCATCCAGTGGTTTGATACTGCACCGAGTCGGACTTGTCCGCAGTGTAGAATCCAGGTAAATCCTTAATCCTGAACTGTATTTCTGCATCCCAATGCTGTCTACCAGCACTGTCAGAGCTCAGGCCTGAGGGCACAGTGGTGGCTCACAGAGGCATTGACGGCATGCAGAGATTGGCTGTCATTTCTCAGTCACTATCAGACTGTGCTGGGCGTCACTACTTACATTCTAGCAGAGAGGCTAAGGCCTTGGCTACACTTGCAGATGTACAGTGCTGTGAGTTAAACCTGACTTCGTGCAGCTGAGTAGGGAAAGCGCTGCAGTCTGTCCACACTGACAGCTGCCCAGCGCACTGTCGTGGCCACATTTGCAGCAATTGCAGCGCTATTGGGAGCGGAGCATTATGGGCAGCTATCCCACAGAGCACCTCTTCCCATTCTGGCTCCGTGGGTTGTGGGAAGGGGGCATGGGTCTGGGGCATTCTGGGTCCTGTCCCAAAGCCCCGTGATGCATCGCTTCGCATCCCAGAAATCCCTTTGTTTCTGTTCACCTTTGGCGCCATCTTTCAACGGTTTCTGTGCAGCGTGATCGGTCTGCAGGAAATGGAGCCTGAACTGCTGAGGTGTATGCTGACTTATCTCACCAGCACGTCATGTTTGGCTGTCGAACTATTCCTTAAGATCCAAAGTGACAGTGAGAGTGAGGAGTCCGATGATGCTATCGAGCCGCGTAACGCTTACGACACAAAATTGCTTGTGGCATTCACGGACATGCTCAGCACCGTGGAACACCGCTTTTGGGCTCGGGAAACAAGCACCGAGTGGTGGGATCACATCGTCATGGAAGTCTGGGATGACGAGCAGTGGCTGCAGAACTTTCGGATGAGAAAAGCCACTTTCGTGGGACTGTGTGAGGAGCTCACCCCCACCCTGCGGCGCAAGGACATGAGATTGCGAGCTGTCCTGCCAGTGGAGAAGCGGGTGGCTATTGCAATCAGGAAGCTGACAACTCCAGACAGCTACCGGTCGGTCGCAAACCAGTTTGGAGTGGGAAAGTCGACCGTTGGAATCGTGTTGATGAAAGTTTGCAAGGCCATTAATCGCATCCTACGCAGAAGAACCGTGACTCTGGGTAATGTGCAGGAAATAGTGGATGGCTTTACACAAATGGTGTTCCCTAACTGTGGAGGGGCGATAGATGGGACGCACATTCCTATTCTGGCACCACCCCACCTAGGATCCGAGTACGTTAATCGGAAGGGGTATTTCTCTATTGTTCTCCAGGCGCTTGTGGATCACCGTGGGCGTTTCATTGACATTAACACAGGCTGGCCCGGAAAGGTGCATGACGCACGCATCTTTCGGAACACTTGGCTGTTCAGGAAGATGCAGGCCGGGACTTATTTCCCAGAGCGTAAGATCACAGTAGGGGAAGTTGAAATGCCCATTGTGATCCTTGGAGATCCCGCTTACCCGTTAATGCCGTGGCTCATGAAACCCTACACAGGGAGCCTTGACAGCAGCAAGGAACGGTTCAACTACAGGCTGAGCTGGAGCCGAATGACTGTGGAGTGTGCCTTTGGCCGTTTAAAGGGCCGCTGGCGATCTCTGTATGGGAAGCTGGACTTGGCCGAAAACAGCATCCCCCCGGTTATATCCGCGTGCTTTGCCCTCCATAATATTTGTGAAAGGAAGGGTGAAAGCTTCACTCAGGCATGGACCTCCGAGGTTGAACACCTGGAGGCTGAATTTGCACAGCCAGAGATCAGGGCTATTACAGGGTCCCAGCGCGGGGCTGCAAGGATTAGGGATGCCTTGAGGGAGCAATTTGAGGCTGAAAACCAGCAGTGATATCTGGTGCCCTGCACAGGAGTGAAGTGCAGTAGTTCTAATCTTTAGGAATCAGTGTCTGCTAAGCAGACTTGCAGTGCCTGTTTATTTCCTGGGCTAAGGAGTCTTTTACTTTATCCAATAACAAAGAATGTTTTCAAAGCCAAAAAATCCATTTATTGAAAAGAAACAAGGGGGTGGAGCGGGGAACGGTACAATCACAGATTTGCGTATGTCCTGTCTGGTGTGATGTGCAGTGAGTGCTGCACTTCAGGATAGCTATACTGCATGGTGACGGGGGTTAAGTGCAGATGGAAAG